TACTCTAAATTTCTCTTCCTTTATCTTTTCCTTCAAACCAAACATAGTATTAAAGTTGGGGCAAGTTCATGGGGATACTTTTCAGTTGTATAATATTGCAATAAGTTGCGCCTCTAAAGTAACTATCCACTTATATAGTTTAAGGCATCATACCAGAAAAATTTACATGTTTTGGGATTTTATTGATTGGTCAAATCCTTTCTCATATCATGTTTCCGGGGTGTTCCAGAGGATTGAACAGGAATAAGAAGAACATGTAAAGCTGGAAGCCTGAAACTTGAAAAATCGTCAGATGTGTTCCAGAGGATCGAGGTTTGCTGTCTGGTTTCCTAAAGTTTGTGATCTGTGTGTGCTATTGCATGGGACTGAGTCGTCATACCATTGAAGACGAAAAAGAACGTGTCCTAGCTACAACGTTTTACCCATTAGTATAACTTCAAAACCATATCTTTATTTATCGACTTTTGGCTGTAAGGCCATATTTGGGAGTGGTTAAGTTAAAAAAAGTGCTTATTGAATAAGTGTTTAAAAATAAGTGCTTATTTGTTTATTCAAATAAACACTTATTTATATTTGGCATCTAATTTTGTAAGTGCTTGTTTTTTAAAAGCATTTATTTTATATTAGGTGTTTGGTAGTTTTTTTCTCTAATAAGCATTTGTGATTATTTTATCCTTCATTTTCTTTCAAATTTTCAAAATATACCCTTTGAAAATATTTTTAAGAAAGTACCTTTATGAAAGCACTTTTATTTTGTAAAAGTGTTTTCGTAAAAGTACTTTCGCAAAAGTGCTTTTGTAAAAGTACTTTCGCAAAAGTGCTTTTGTAAAAGTACTTTCGCAAAAGTGCTTTCAACAAGGTACTTTCGTAAAAGTGCTTTCGTAAAATTACTTTTATAAAAGTGTTCTTGTAAACATACTTTCTTAAAAGTGATTTTGTAAAAGTGCTTTCATAAAAATGCTTTCGTAAAAGTACTTTCGCAAAAGTGCTTTTGTAAAAGTACTTTTATAAAAATGCTATTGTAAAAGTATTTTCATAAAAGTACTTTCTTAAAAGTGCTTTCATAAAAGTACTTTTATAAAATTCAACTACGATGTGAATTCATTTTACATTGGTCAAACAAAATAAATATTTTAATACTTAAAATTTATAAATTTGCACATGAATTAGCCTACTAATATACATCAATATCAAAAAAGATTTTTAACTTTAGAAAATTTATAGAAATAAAAATATTAATAGTAGAATAATTATTTTAGTACTTAAAATTTATAAATTTGCACAGAATATGTATTTTAAAATTTTATATAAAGTTTAAATTATTAATTAATATTTTAATTTACATTAAATTACAACATAATTATAATTTACAAAAATAAAAATTATTTTCAAAATATTCAAGAATATAATATTAAATTGAATCTATCAAATCTACTAATTTACATTTATATAAAAATATTTTTAATTTTAAAAATTTATAGAAACAAAAACATTAATAATGAAACAATCATTTTAGTAGTTAAAAATTGTGAATTTGCATATGACATGTATCTTAAAAATTTAATATATTTGATATAATTTTGGTTGAGATTATATATTGTATAAATTATTATTTGATATTTTAATTTACATTTGATAATTTAATATTTAGTTGACTTCTTTGTTAATGTAAAAATGTAAAAATAGTAAATTAGAGAATAATTGATATAATAATTAAAATATAATAGGAGCATATGTTTTGCATTTTGGATTCTTGATTGATGCATTATCAATAAAATTGTTTGGTATCTATGCATCATATTATATTAATTATAATATATTCTTTCATATACATCATTAAAATATACATTATATATATTTATACACTATTTGTTGTTATTTCACCTTAAATTTAATATTATTAATATATTTATGAATTTTTTATATGTGTTTCCAAAGTATATCTATATCCGTATCCATATCTAATCTGTCCATAAGATTAATCCTTGCTTATTCTTGGGGTAATAATGCACTAAGGATGGCGTCACCTCCTATCACCCCAAGTATATAACAACTAAGCATGGTGTCACCTCCTATCACCCCAAGTATATATCCATATCCGTATCCATATCTAATCTGTCTGATACGATTAATCCTTACTTATTCTTGGGGTAATAGTGCACTAAGGATGGTGTCACCTCCTATCACCTTAAATTTAATATTATTAATATATTTATGAAATTTTTATATGTTTTCCTATTGTATTCAAGCGTTTCCATATTTTTTATTTGTATCCATGTATTTTCAAAATATATCCATATCTGTATCTATATCTAATCTGTCTGATACGATTAATCCTTTTTTATTCTTGGGGTAATAGTGCAGTAAGGATGGTGTCACCTCCTATCACCCCAAGTATATAACAGCTAAGCAGCAACTCATTGTATCTATATTAGAGCAAGTAATGAAGCAGTGCGTTAACATATGGAACAACTAGTTTACACTTACCACTCCTCTTTTGTTCTATGCAAAGGTTTAATGGGGATTGTTGTCTAAGCTCAAAAATTGCATAAGAAGGATATTTTAACCAACATTAATAAAAAGTTTTGTTTTGTTTTTGGTATTTTGGTGATAACAAACATTGGTAAAAGTCTTTTTTGTTCATGCTTGCAAAAATACCAGCACATTTTCTTGTCGTACAAGAATGAAACTTGGATCTCCTACCCACAAACCGTTCTCCCATCCCTACCCATAAGACTTCGTAGGTGTGCATTTGAAATATCTCCCTTTCCATTCACATACAGATGTTTTGAATATAATAATAATACATGGGGTAGTGTCTTGTGGGTAGAGATGTGGGAAAAGTTTGTGGGCAAGAATTTGATCGGGAATAGAACACCTCCACCCACATTTAATTGAACCACATTCCACTAGAACTAAAAAAAAAGTCTCTTGTAGGAATTATTTTTGTATTAGAGTTATTATTGAATGCCATATCTGATGGAGGAAAATTTGGCCCGACCTCTTGACCACCCAACACGTGGAAGCAATTGAGGGTGACTTGGCAGAAGCAACAACTCGGCACGGTAGTACGCTCAAGGCGCGAGCTCCGAGAGGAGGAATCAGCGGTCCGAGCTCCCCAAAAGGAGCCCGAACTCTCCCTTTAACCCCGAGCCATACGAAGAGCGCAAAGGGCAACAACCCGAACTGGCCCACCCTAGGGCAGTTCGGACCACACTTCTATCCGAACTCAAGACTTCACCTCGCACACCACTCCAGCACTTCGTCTCCAGGCCGTCGAATTGAACAACCGTACCTAACACCAAAGGAGTCCGTATCCTGAAGCGGCGCACCTGACTGACTTAGGATCTGACGCTTGACAACCGCACTTCAACGGCCACCTGCCACCGCCACCTCCAGTTACAGAGACGGCTCCGACAAAGAGAGCAGTGGCGGTTGTTTGCCCCAGCAGAGGTGATGACACCCGAACTGGCAGAAGTGCAGAGGTAATGATACCCGACCTGACAGGAGCTTGGGAGTGGGTGCACGAAGTGGTTATAAAAGGCCCTCTTCCCCCCAAGAAGAAAGGTACGTGATAACTTTGCGCCATCTGGTTTTTATCTTGCCTTTGAGGAGATACTAATTAGAGCTTCGGAGCACTCTCACCGGGTTCCTCCCCGGAGACTACTCGCTTTATTCCCCGTTTCAGGCACCTTTTGCTCCAGTCAGAGGCAAGATCGTTGACAGTTAGGACCGACCGGATTGCACTCCATCAATATCATTCCCAAAAATATCAGAAAATCACCAGAAAATGCGATATCTAAAAAGGGTTGGTTTTAATAATCAATGTTTGGCAAATTCCCCATAAATCGACAAAATGAACCAACCAAATAAAAAAAAAATCACTAATTCTTCAAATTCTGACGTGGATACAACATTGTGCCGAATTCTAGAAAATCATCATCAATGCCAAAGAATACCTTAGATTTGGTGGAACGATTATATTAATCCAAAATTCTTGCTTAATAAAAGGACTAACTTTGAAGCATCTTTACTTCAGGTTCTTCATTGTATTCGAAATTTTAAATGACTAAGACGATATCGCCAATTAAAAAAAAAAAAAAAACCGTGAACGCTAGCAGACTAGTAGTTCCCATGAGTCCATGACCTTAAGGCTCAGTTTTGAATTTTACTTTGATGGACCCATAATGGCCCAGTTTGCCACCCGTAATTCCAGACGGTCTAATGGGAAGTTGGACTGGGGAAAAGGGGGAAAAATCTTTTGAGAAAGTGGAAGGGTTCTTTCCTTTTGTTTGTTTGTTTGCCTTTTAAATTGAAGGAAAAAAAAATCAAAATGTCTTAATAAATCTCATCCTTTTAAATTTTGCGAGCACAACTGAAGCCACCTGAGTAATGAATAAGTATATATTTGGCATCGATGCTGTAGAAAACATTGCTGTATATGAGTGGGTTGGAAGTATGTTGCTGTCAGGTAGAACATTTCCTGAAGCAACAGCAATACTTTCTATTTGGTATTAGTGATTCTTATCTGTTTTAAGCACTCCTACCCATTATAGGAAGTCCATATCACTGCCACATCATGTCTTTGTTGGTAACAACGAGCTCCAATCTAAGGAAATGTTAAATTTGACATTGTTTTAAATCACACCTTCTCGATTTCTAAGACTTAGCTTGAAGCAGTGTTTTTATGGAAAAACGGTTTCAAACATATTGACTTTTCCTGAAGCACCAATTTTTACAATATGGTGTTAATGTGTCAGCATTTTTCCTACACTAATATATAGCGATTTTACAACATGGTGTTAATGTGCCAAACAGACGCTAAATATCCTGTTCTGGTTATATGTATAGCGATTTGTTCAGCAACACAGTGCAGCAGATCCAGATTCCAGATTCCAGACTCAAATCAACAAAATCCATAGTAAGAGAGCCGGGATCTGCTGCAATTTTTTTTCCTACACTAATATATATAGCTGTCGTATCTCGTATGAACTCAACACTCAAATGTTACCGGTTACCATCGCCAACAAAATATTATATAATCTTTATTCTCAGCTTACATTCCGTTCCGTTGGAGATCCCCAAAGGAAAGTAAAAGGAAAGAGAGAAAAAGAAGCAGACTACTGAGTTGAGGCAAAAGTTGGAAAACCAGAAGAAACGGAAAACCTAAACACATCTTGAAACAAATTGGGAAGGACGGATTCCTTAAATTTAGAAGCCAGGAGGCTTGTAGGCAATGAAACTGATGCATTGCACTTGGCGCTTGTTGTCGAAACCGATGATCCGGATGAAGGCGTTGGGGTAGGCTTTCTTTGCCTCTTCCAGCTCGGCCAACACCTGAGACGAGTCAGTGCAGCCGAACATGGGCAGCTTCCACATGGTCCAGTAGCGTCCATCGTAGTACCCAGGAGATCTGTTGTTCTCACGGTACACGAACCCATGCTACAATCACACCAGTACCACACCAAACAGAGCAAACAGTCACCACCACCACCACAAATTAAGAATAAGGCAGGGTCGTTACAGATTATACAAATCCACTACAATTAAAATTAAAAAGGATTGACAGACCTCCAACTCGAACTCCAAGCAAGGAATCCATCCCATGCGCAGAAGGTAGTCAACTTCCTTGGCCAGTGATTCTGGAGAGAGAGGTGGAAGGTAAGACAGAGTCTCGAACTTCTTCTTGGCAATTGGTGGCCACACCTGCATTCACATGCAATTGTGCTCTGTCAAGGACCCTTTTTTATCGCAATTTGAGCTTCAACACTCCGTTTACATTCAGTAAACATGTTCAACTATCATGAATTTGCCTTTGGTTGGTATATGTACCTGCATGCACTGAACTCTTCCGCCGTTGCTGGAGAGGGAGGTAATGTCATTGTTGGTCTTGCGGGTGACAGGGAAGGCCGAGACGGACTTGAGTCCGGTGAAGGGTGCCACCATGCTAGCTTGAGCTGGGCTGACACGGTTGACGGAGGCAACGGCTGTTGGTGAGAGCACGGAGGAAGCCATTTTGTCCCTTTTACTCTTTTGCTAAGACCTTACACTACCAATTCAGCTATATATAGACCAACCTTCCTTCATTGCGTCCATTTGTTATTATTGGTCCTCATTCTGCCTCTAGGATGTCGTCTGTGATAAACTGATAACATCAGACTGATCGGATGGCCACACAATCTGAGGGAAATTTTGGATTAGAGTTTTGCGATGGGCACCCTCTTATGACCACACAAAAATAAGTAATTTCTGAGGGCAGTTAGTCGGTCTATTCTTTTGATACCAACCACAAGTAGTTAACAATCTATTATTAAGTTAAGTTGTAAGTCACTGCCAATTTGTTTATCCAAATAATAATAATAATAATAATAATATGATCAGAGAACTGACACTAGGGTTGGTTCTGGATCGTCTACTACTTACAGACCCTACAGCCTACAGGGATATGGGTTGGGACTCGGGATTGGGTTTGTGATTGAATTAATGCTTTCTTGATATCAGGTCATCAAGACCAGATCTACCTGATCACCTTGCTCAGACGCAGTCAATTGATGACATCCTTACGTGTAGCTAGCTAGAGTTGAAGAAAGGGATTCATATAGACCATGCGATTCCAAAAGAGAATGAAAACATTTAAGTGAGATACTAAGATCTACCATTTAACACATTTTTATTTAGTTATGAATGTAAGAGGCAAAATTTTGTTTCTTCAGATCTTTCTTACAAAGGCTGAAGTTTGGTATGTAATACAAATAATCTTGATATGTGATGAGGGATAATTTGGCTCTTTCAATTATTTAGTGACACGTGGCTTCTAGATGATACCTCAGCGCTGAAACGGCTGATCAATTCGGTAAGTTAGTTCGGAGCATTTTGCTCAAGCCAACCTTTACTTCGGCACAGTCGAGCTGGCAGACCCGTAAGATTATGACGACCTGTCCTAGGAACCGGTTGAGCTGAGAGGACCCAAGGCGACCTACGAGGAAGAGCTTGCTAACCACCCCCAGCAGTTTGCTACCAAAGGCGCCAACAACGCGGCTGTTAGAACGACTCATTGTGTCGTTCGCCTTGACTTCACTTAGACGAACCGTAACCCCTGCGAGGATCTCTCAACTAACACCTTAACATGCCAGGAAAATGGGAAAACGGCTCCACAAAGAGCTCAAAACTGTTACCCTGAACCCCCTGAGTCTAGGGACCTATATAAGGTGTCCAGATCCACCTAGAAAGGTGCGTGTACTAACTTTCTAGAGCTCTCTCACTCTTTTAAAGAATTCCCCAAACACCTATTGACTTAAGTATCGGAGTGCCTACCCCGGGTAAAAGGCACCCGGGCACTGCACAAATACATATTGTACATTGTAAATAAATACAAAATAATATAACATACAAACAAAATGCTGAGTGAATTAGTATCCTGAAAAAGAATGACTTCCTTTTTTGTTATTTTTGAGCAGCCAAAAATTACTTGTCATTGCTTAGGTATCTTAGGAGAGTACAGGTTGTGTATATAAAAGATGTCCCGGGTCCATGTGTGGTACTGGGGTGTGTCTATAAAAGAGAGAGAGTCCAAAAGGATGAAAAGGAAAAAATTAATTAAAGTTTGATGCACTGGATACTTGTTTCTTTTGGTATTGTATCATTCGCCTCTTTGCCCTTATAGGGCCACATTTCATTTTAATATGAGAAAAAACTATGTGGAATTTGTTATTCTTGTTCTTTATTTTGAAAGGTGCATTCCTATATATATACAAATAGGACACTCAGTTTCAGTAGGAGTTGATTGTTCAAATACATCTAGGAATACAAAGCACCCACCGAAGGTTGCGTTTCGGTAGGAAGGTTACGTGCAGATCTGGTTTCTCAATACTCCCCCTCAAATTGGCGCATGTAGATTCCGGATGCCCAATTTGCCAAGGAAATATGTGAATTTCTCTTTTCCCAGAGCCTTTGTCAGGATATCAGCTAACTGCTCTGTGGTTCGAACATGGCAAGTAACAATGTTCCCACGCCGTAGCTCATCGCGAACAAAATGACAATCGACCTCAATATGCTTTGTCCGCTCGTGGAACACTAGATTTGCGGCTATGTGCAAAGCTGCCTGATTGTCACAATACAAACGCGTGGGTTCATCATGCGCCACCCCAAAGGACAAAAGAAGTTTCTTCATCCACTTCAGCTCACAACTTGTCGCAGCCCTCGAACGATATTCAGCTTCTGCAGAGGAGCGCGACACGGTATGTTGTTTTTTCATTTTCCAAGAAACTGGCGATTGCCCCAGCAGAACAAAGTAGTCAGTCAACGACCGTCGTGTCAGTGGGCAGCTTGCCCAATCAGAGTCGCAATAAGCATATAGACGCAAATCGCTATCAAAACGGAACAATATACCTTGTCCTGGATATCCTTTCATATAATGCACTACGCACAGAGCTGCCTCACAATGTTCTTGTCGTGGGCTTTGCATGAACTGAGCTAGGATATGAACACAATAACACAGCTCAGGACGTGTAATGGTCAAGTAGATCAACTGTCCCACTAATCATCGATACTGATTCGGATTTTCCATAAGAGCGCCCTTTGCCAGTGCAAGATGATGATTCTGTTCAATGGGTACGGATGTTGGTTTGGCTCCCAAGAGTCCACATTCCGAGATGATGTCTAGGGCATACTTTCGTTGAGACAAAAAGATTCCCTCAGGGCCATGAGCTACTTCAATCCCTAGGAAATATTTGAGTGGACCCAGAGCTTTCATATGGAAGCATCGATGGAGATACTTTTTGAATTTTACAATGGCAGCAGAATCATTTCCCCCAACAATCAGGTCATCAACATATATCAGCATGTGCAAACGAATATTGTGTTTGCAATAGGTGAACAGAGAGTAGTCAGGATACGACTGGACAAACCCGAACTGTATCAAGGCCGTTGTTAACTTCGAGAACCAACATCTGGGAGCTTGACGTAATCCATAGAGAGATTTCTTCAGTTTGCACACCTTTGTTTGATCCTTAGATGCAAATCCTGGCGGCAACTGCATGTATACTTCCTCATTCAAATCCCCATGTAAGAAGGCATTATGTACATCCATCTGATGCAACTCCCACTTCCTAGCGGCTGCCACGGCTAAGAAAGTGCGGACTGTCGTCATTTTGGCCACAGGAGCGAAAGTCTCATTATAATCTAACCCCTCAACCTGTCTATTCCCGAGAATAACTAGTCGAGCCTTATGTCGTTCAATCGTCCCATCTAAATTATATTTGATCTTATAAACCCATTTACTCCCTATTGCCTTTTTCCCGAGAGGTAGAGTTTCCAATGTCCAAGTACAATTATCCTCCAGAGCCTGGATTTCCTTCCACATAGCTTCCCTCCATTTCTCACTTTTCATTGCCTCAAAAAAGCTGGTGGGCTCGGCTCCTGCAGTGACTGCAGCTAAGAAAGCTTGATGTCTAATAGAGAAGTTAGTACATGTCACATAATTCGCTATGGGATAGGGAGTCGTACCTGAGGACTCTGATTTAGAGTTGGCTTGAGTGTGAATGGGGTCTTTCAAACGTCGAGCAATGTAGGTCACGTAGGGTTTCAACAAAATAGACGGCGTGCAATGCCAATGTCCCCTACCAAGTTGCTCTTCTGGCATTAATTCCCACTTCCTGCTCACTCTCTTCTTCTCCATGCTCCTCTTCTCTTCCATCACCATTATTCTCAAGGCTCCCCTTATCACAGATGTCGGCTGCATCACTCCCCCTGTCTTTATTCCATCTGTGGTTGTGTACAACATCATCATCAACTACGACATCAACTTGTGCAATGGCTGGGCCAGGTTTGTTTCTCATATTGGCTTCTGAACCAGTGACATATGGAAATATATTTTCATGGAAGACTACATCACGGGAGACAAAATATTCACCTCTTTCAACATCATATACGCGCCAACCTTTCTTTCCGTAGGGATAACCCACAAAAACACACTTCCTACTCCTTTCTCCAAACTTATCCTTGTCTCGAGGACTCCAATGAGCATAGCAGAGACAGCCAAATACTCACATGTGCTCGTATTGAGGTGGCGTCCAGAACAGTACCTCATACGGAGTCTTCCCGCCAAGTACAAGAGAAGGTGTCCTGTTTATCAAGTATCCGGCGGTTAAGGCACACTCCCCCCAAAACCGAATAGGTAAACCTGCTTGAAACCTCAATGCTCTCGCAACATTCAAAATATGCCTATGTTTTCTTTCCACTCGACCATTCTGTTGGGGTGTTCCAACACAGGAGGTCTGATGCAGAATGCCATGAGTCTCGAAGTATGACTTCAGGCCTTTAAACTATGTTCCATTATCACTTCGAACAACTCTGACTTGCTTTCCAAATTGGCGTTCTACCATGGCACAAAAATTTTTAACAATATGTGCTACTTCACTTTTTTCAAGCAGCAGGTAAACCCACATAGCACGAGAATAATCATCAACAATGGTTAGAAAGTAAACGGCACCACAAGAGGCTGGTACCTTATAAGCACCCCATGTATCACAATGAATTAGAGAGAAACAGTCATCGACTTTATGTTTACTTTCAGAAAAAACTTCCCCAGTTTGTTTTGCTCTATAACAAACATCACATGGCTTATCTCTTTCAGGTCTACTGTTGAATTTACCTACTTTAGGAAGTGAAGATAATATCTGTTCAGACGGATGTCCCAATCTACGATGCCACAACTCCCATTCACTCATTCTACTTGTTCTATTTTCCCGAACCGGTGCTGCTCCTCTAAAATGATAGACCCCATCACACTGCTCACCCGCTCCAATCAGAGTCCTCGAGGTTTGGTCCTGTATCACGTACAGCTTGTCAGTAAAAGTGACAGTACAATTTATCTCTTGCAATAATTTAGCTACAGAAATAAGGGTGCAGTTCATTCTTGGTACAAAGAGCACATGATGTAAATAAATATTTCCAGCCAAATGCACAGTCCCTTTCTTTACTGCAGTAGTTTGCTTCCCATTGGGAAGTTCCACCGGACACGGTGTAATATTCCGAACATCAATCAATAAATTAATTTCTCCAGTCATATGGTGCGACACCCCGGAATCAATTATCTAATCAGTAGAATTTTTCTTATCAGAAAGTCTTTCAGATTTATGTGAATTCAGATTATTGAGAAGTGTTGTCCATTGGTCTCCACTCAGCTCCGAAAACCCGCTACGGTCATGATCATTTGTGATTCCAACCTTTCGTCCTCCAGTCTCACTTCCCACTGCTTGGGCAGCGTTTTGCTCTTGCCTTGTTTCCTCGTCCTCGTCCGCCGATCATGATGAAGAGTCTGTCGGTATGCCTTCTGGTTCGCTGGTCGACGAGCAACGATCACCTTCAGGTAGTGTGTTTGGTGTGCTCTACAGGCGGTAATCAGAGATTACGCCAGTCGCGCAAATCCTTCCAATTTTTGGGGTTCGTCGAACTCCGGATGAGGTTTGCAAAAGAAGTGCGGCCACGGTACCTTGCAGAAGAATCCAAGAAACCCAAGGGCCTACGCAACAGGATTAGATTCCGGAGGATATATCGATTGACCGACAGAATACAACAGAAACCATCAACTGGCCCAAACTAGTTTTCAGTTCATGAAAACCAAATCAAACACTCCGCTTCATGCTTCGGCATATGATCTGTCAATCTTGATCATACTCCGTCGCACTGTGGAAACCAACGGTCTGAAGGCAGGGTCGAAGAAGTCCTCCCGGAAACAGAGGAGAGAGAACAATACGTGTCGAAGATGACAAAACTCTCTCTAGATTTCGTCGTAGAATCCGAACCCAAACTCTGGTCACTGTCTCAGAGATGGGGACGATGAATCAGTAGCTTTGCCGCCGCTCTTTCCCACTCAGAAGTTTCGCTGCCGCTGCTCTGGTTCAGACGGAGACAACTAATTGGCCCAAACTACCATGGCCGACGAAGATTGCCAATTCAATGAACATGATTGTTTCCGTCGTAATGCCGGTTTTGTTTCAGGTGTCTCCCGATAGAAAAAACTGCGCTGCTACTGTAACCATACCGGAGAAAGTGTTAGATCTTCCTTTTTCTCTAGTGGAGTCATGGCTCTATCTCTGAGTCAACAGCAGGTACCCTTCAATGGTGTCTTGTCTGCCGCTGCTCTGGTTCAGACGGAAACTGCCACCGGTTCCATTCGAATAGGGAGAGAAGAGGAACAGTAGCTTCGTCGCCGCTCCTTTCCGCTCAAAAGCTTCGTTGCCGTTGCTCTGGTTCAGACGGGAAAGAGTCCAGTCTTCGCCTTTGTGGCTGAAGGTGGAGCCATTTGTTGAAGAAAGATCGGAGAAGGCTGAAGAAGAATAAAAACCGAAGAGCTCTGCTTTAGTGTAGAGTTCTTGTCTGATCCGTGAACGTCTCAGTTCGGAACTCGAATCCGCCGGTCGCAGCCTTCGATCTCTGTTTCTCTGGGGTCTGGAAGAGACGAACAGTGGAACTGTGGTAACCGCTCAAGCTGAAATTCCGAAGTTGAATTCACAGTGAGGGATTGAGGACGACGAAGAGTCTTCTTCTTCTTTTTATTTCCGATGGAGGTGATGAGTCTGGATTATGGTTTCTAGGAGCGCCGTAGCGACGACTGCGGAAGACGAAGAGCAGTCTGTACTCTGCCTATGGGCGAAGTGCCGAACTAGAGACCGGAGTGCACAGAGACCTCTTGCTCCTGTTTCTGGCTCTGATACCATGAGAAAAAACTATGTGGAATTTATTCTTCTTGTTCTTTATTTGAAATGTACATCCCTATATATACAAATAGGAGACTCAGTTTCAGTAGGAATTGATTGTTCAAATACATCTAGGAATACAGAGCACTCACCGAAGATTGCGTTTCGATAGGAAGGTTACGTGCAGATCTAATTTCCCAATATAATACTAATTTTCAACAATATTCTAATAACTCTTTTCAAAAGTGGTGGGAGCTGATAGTGGGGCTCGAAATTGCATCTTGTATGAACTACTTAATTTATGTACCAACTAAGCCACAACTCAGTTGGGATATACTGAATACTTTGTGTCTTTGTCCTTGCTCCTTAACACAGAAGGAGAGGTGGGGACGGAAAGACTTTTGTGAACCTCATCTCTTGGGACAAACATGATTCATCCCAATCATAAGGTTTTTACTTGTTCTTTTCGTCTTTTTATAGAATAATCTCAATCACAAGATTAGTGCCAAGTTGACCAACTAAATGGTGGCTCGATTGGCATGTTGGCTGGATATTCCCAGCAGAGTTCGAATCCCGCTATTCCCACCTATGTTGAAAAGTTAACGTATTAATTGTATGAAGTAAAAAAAAAAAAAAACGCTCAGTACCAAGTTACATCAAACTATTCCAAAAACCTTTCTAATTGTCTATTTCTTTAGGGAAAAAAAGAGATGAAGTTAGAGGATATGTATCTAGGTGGGCCAATTTTCAATACCTCAAAGAAGCACTCAGACTCGAGATTTATTGTAGATAAAGCAAGGTCAAAACTTAAGAAATGGAAATCAAGAATCCTCTCTCATGCAGGTAGATAGGCTCTCATTAAATCTACTCTAGCTTCCCTCCCCCTTTACCATATGGCAACCTATGCTTTTCCATCCTCCACCCGTAAGGAGCTAAGATCAATTTGCCGTGATTTTTGGTGGGGGAAGACATCAAAAGAAAGACCCATCTACCTAAAAGCATGGAAGTCATTTTTACTCCATTTGGAAAAAGGGGGTCTTGGCTTTAGAGACCCAAGTTTGATGAGCAGAGCTCTCTTACTTAAGCTGGCTTGGCGTTTTCTCACAAAAACTGATTCTTTATGGGTTAAAAATACTTAAAAAAAAGTATCTTACCTCATCAAATTTCTGGAAACAAAATCACAAAAGTTCACACTCAATGCTGTGGTCCAGCCTATTAGCTTGCCATGAAGATCTCATTAAGGATTGTAGATGGTTAATCTCAAACGGTTGGGATGTAAATATTTTCAAAGATCCGTGGATTCCTAATGGACTGATTGAAAAGCCAAATAACTGGGATCTTGCTTGCAGCAAGGTGGCCATGCTCATGAATCAAAACTCACGGACGTGAAACATCCAACTCTTACATATGCTCTTTGATGAGGACATTATTAACCAGATTACAAAGATTGTTATCACTCAGGTGAATCCTTTAGCTAATGACAAGTTAATTTGGTCATTTACTCCTCATGGAAGGTTTTCTTGCAACTCTGGATATAAACTATTGTGTCATGATGTTTCAAAATCTTCTCATGCTTCGTGGGTTTGTGAAAATCTTAGCTGGAAAGAATTGTGGAAAATGAAAACTTTAATTCCCCATGTCAAGATGTTCTTATGGAGATGCTGTAAGGGAGTTATTTTAGTTAATGCAGAGCTGGCTAAAAGATCAACTAAGATTGAAGCAACTGAGAATACTCAAAATAATAATTTACGTTATTGGTTACAGCATTGGAGACATATTGACAAAATAAGGAATCAACATTCTTGCTTTCCAATGTTTGCTCGAGGGATCATTGTGATGTGGTTCATTTGGAAGCATAGAAACAAAACGATATTTGAGCAACACCCTTTTAATCCATTACAGACGCTTGCAGCCATTGAAGCTCATTGTGCCTTACTTTCTAGATCTACTATTTCAGATTCAAACACTAACAGTGTTCACTCTCAAATCAGTACGGATCCTCAGATGGTTTAGAGGTGGATCAAGCCTCCTACTAGAATCATTAAAATTAATACAGATGGGGCATGGAGTTCTTTTCGCTCGGCTTTTGGAATTGTTATCAAAGATCACAATGGCTATTTGATACTGGGTAGATGTGCTCTCCTCCTATGTTCTTCCCCGACAGAAGCTGAAGCCTTAGCAATTTTGGAAGGTCTGAGGTGTGCCATTGCAATGGACCTTGTGGCTCTAATCATTGAAAGTGATGCAAAACACATCATCGACATTCTCTCTTCAGGTGCAGACCCTCCCTGGAGATTACATTCTATTATTCTAGAATGTAGGTTTCTTGCTTTTGGTTTTATATCAACCAGTTTTATTCTTACATCTCGATCTTGTAATCACTTAGCCCATGGACTAGCAAATCATGTTGTCAAATACAATCATGCTATGACCTGGCCGACTCCTCCAGATTTCATCAGGTCTATTTTTCTGGATGAGATGTAACTTGTTGTTTTGAAATAATTTTTTGCCTCTGACTTCAATATATATATATAATTAGTGGTACTATTTATGTTTGATAGAACCTAGCAATAATTTTCCTCTCAAGTTAAGCCACAAGCATCCGATGGAAATTTATAGGTTGTGGATTATTTGTTGAGTTTGTTTGAATAGTACTTCGTAGTATTCTGGCGATCAGTATATATAAGGGGCGGTGTTCATCAAGGTTTTGTTTTCTAAAATAAAAAATTAGCACCATATCAGCAAAAATGATATAGTTTTTTTGAAGTGAAGAATGGTTCGACGGTCTACTACATCCTCAAAAGTCTTGGAGTACTGTGCCACACTGCCACCCCAAACCAAAATGTTGAGCGTCAGCGAAGAATGATTGTAGCCACACGTATTAACCAATGCTGATAGGAATAGCACTGACACTGTGAAGGTAAATAATGGGTTCGTGCTCTACGGAGACAATACCGGGCCAATCAAGACATGCCACATCGGCTTCATGAACTGACGTGTTGTATCATGACTAGGATTATACATGATTAATTTGCTCAGTCTCCAACGAGCCTCGTCTCCAAATTCCATCTTCATCTACCATAAAAACTTGTGAACTTAATTTTCAAGCGAATTAATAATGAATGATGAAGAGCAGGGTAGGGTGATCATGGTTTATTGGAGGAGATGGATATCCATTAATGTCTGTGTGCGTATGAATCTCAAGTAAAGAGATATTCAAATTCAACAAATTAAAAGTACTTTATGTAGCAAAAAATGAACAGTAGTTGCTACTTCTCTCTCTGTATATATTGCTCTACTCTTCAATGTACATTTCGCCTACTGTCCCTCAATATTATATATTTATATGTAGTGAAGTCGAGAAATCAACATAGAGACCTTCCAGCAGCGAAAATGAGGAGAATTCTTAAATTACATTTAGTAGCCAGGAGGCTTGTAGGCAATGAAACTGATGCACTGCACTTGGCGCTTGTTGTCGAAACCGATGATCCGGATGAAGGCGTTGGGGTAGGCTTTCTTTGCCTCTTCCAGCTCTGCCAACACCTGAGACGAGTCAGTGCAGCCAAACATGGGCAGCTTCCACATGGTCCAGTAGCGCCCATCGTAGTACCCAGGAGATCTGTTGTTCTCACGGTACACGAACCCATGCTACAATCACACCAGTTCCACACCAAACAGAGCAAAAAGTCACCACCACCACCACAAATTAAGAATAAGGCAGGGTCGTTACAGATGATACAAATCCACTACAATTAAAATTAAAAAAAAGATGACAGACCTCCAACTCGAACTCCAAGCAAGGAATCCATCCCATGCGCAGAAGGTAGTCAACTTCCTTGGCCAGTGATTCTGGAGAGAGAGGTGGAAGGTAAGACAGAGTCTCGAACTTCTTCTTGCCAGTTGGTGGCCACACCTGCAACAGTACTCAGAATTAATTAGCAATTAGCAATGTCGATCAACACCATTTCTGCTCAACTGCGCGCGCGCAACTATCTTGGGTGAGATTTGGTGTTGAATTTGTTGGGCGGTGTACTGTACCTGCATGCACTGAACACGGCCACCGTTGCTGGGGAGGGGGAGGGAGGTGATGTCGTTGTTGGCCTTGCGGGTTACAGGGAAGGCGGAGGCCGACTTGAGGCCAGTGAAGGGTGCCACCATGCTGGCCTGAGCCGGGGTGGCACGGCCGATATTGGCAACGGCTGTCGATGAAAACATGGAGGAAGCCATTTCTCTCCCTTCTTGCCTAACACAAAACTACCAGACGCTTGAGAATCCTTCAACTCCTACCCTGCAGATATGTAGTCTCACATCTCTTGTTTCCTACCATAAATTTCTCATCCACTGGTCAGAAATCCATGTACCACATAATTCTGGCTGACCACACAAGAAGAGTGAAATTGGATTAGAGACTTCTTAATAAGAACCTCTCTATGCATGCCACTTGGCACCAAACATACAGCCAGCCTTAAAGGAACAAAATATGTTCTAATTAGTATTATCGAGTTTTAGTCTTTTAAATACCTCTCACGGAAAGTGATATATAATCATTGTTTTGAATTAATTAATAATATACACTCAATTAAATTATACCAAGAACCATATAAATTAACGAAAATGTTGAAATGAAGGAGTCCATGAAATTTTCGTGGCGTTCAAATTTTAAGTAAAGGAGAGGTGGTGGAAAGTTGTGTAGGGTTTGTGATCGATCCAAATTTCTTTGGCAAATTTACATCTCACATCGTGATGTTTGATGTCGCCGCGTCCTTCCTGGCTAGTCTAATTTGTTGGTGGTTGCAGTGGCACTTTGGAAGTACTAATTAAATGGGCTGAACGTAAATTCTAATTTACTTTTTCTTTAGATTTGTTTTATTTTATTTTAAGGAATAAGGCAAAAACTTTATTCAACTTGGAAGTAGAAACTAGAAACAACATTACATACATCTCATCCAAAATAACAGATCGGATAAAGTCTGGCGTAGAGGACGACCGGTTCTGTCTTTACTCTTTAGAGCGAAATGGGCTGCTCTATTACAGGACCTAGGGGTTTGAGACCAAGAACAGGATGAGAAATCTCCTGATAAAGATTTGCAATTTGGGGAAAGTAACAAAGGCTCTCCAAGGAGGTTCCAGATCAACAGAAGAGAGAACTTAAATTGCAGCTAGCCTTGGCTTTACTTTCCACGATAATTGGATCCATGGAGATGGCCTTCGCCAGTGGAAAACCATTTAAAAATGCTCTGAATTCAGTTTTTTCAGCAAAAGAACAAGATACCGTTATAGCTCTGGCTATACTAGCTGAGAGATCCAAATTCATCCTGAGCAATAACACACCTACAGCCGGGACTCCACACTCTATCCATGTTGATCTTAATGTGTAGATGTGAGGAGGTTTGGACCATCATCTAGTAGAGGTAGCTGGTTGATTTAACGAATCCGGATTTCCTATTCATGACAACTCTACCTATACTTACTCGCATAACATCGCAGCTACACATGGGAAATATCTCATCCTCTTGCATGTTATTATGCACTAGGAGATATTCCCAATGCACAAGGTAGTGCTTTTGTTGATAGGCATAGGTAAAGGTCTGGTGGATAGGAGATTCAAGTCTGATTTAACTGAAACAGAGAGCAGAGGTCTCTTGTATGATGAGATTGGTTTGATTTGATTGTGGTCCCATCAAATTTAGATACATCTGCTAGGTGAGACCGGATCTGCTCTTCACACCTGGCGCCTCACACGCACATCCTATCCTTCTCCGGTGGCCTCTGTAACAGGCTTGGCAAAACAGCTATGGCGGCCTCCTCGGGAGAAATTAAGTCCTTTCTGTCAAGACCGGAACAGCAACTGCCTGTTACAGAGGCTGCTAGAGCTCTCAAAATAAGGCTGCCTGTTACAGAGGCTTGGGGGGTGTTAACAGGTGTAATATATGTATTGTTCACAGACTTAGTACCCGCAGGGGTATTTTTGTAATTCTGTAGACATATTGTTATATACGGCCAGAATAGTATAAATGCAAAACTTCACTCAACTGAAGCTAAGTCTTTGAGGCCTTAACTCTATAGCCTCTTCTTCTTCTTCTTCTTCTTCTTCTCCTTCTCCTTCTGCTCAACGTGGTATCAGAGCAGGACTGTCCAGGCCTGGAAAACAACCAACTGAGGTCTCTCTCCACTGCTGCATAGAAGCTATAGTCCTGATGCTCAAAGACAAGGAGAGGAAGCATTCTCTAGTACTGTGGATTGTCTCCACTGTCGAGTTGGGTTCTGTTGCATGAAAGCTGACTGTTCAACTTCCTGGCGCAGAAAAAAGGGGGTTCTACTACTGACTGTTCAACTTCCAGCCTTAGGTGCTAGTAGCTGGTGTTGCTCGGCTAAGAAGTCTATGGAAATCCATCCCAGATGTTCGAAGGAAGGTTCTGTCCTGAAGAGAAGTTCGAATCCATGACTATTCTACCTATTCACAGTTTGGGTGACATAGGGACTGAAACTTTTTTTTCTTTTCCTGTTTATGGCTCTCTTCTTGCACGACTGTTAATGTCCCAAAATCTGTGTAGGGATTGTTCCCCTTCCTCCGAGTGTATGTTGTTCTATTCAACTCTCCAAGGAACTGCGGTTGAACCCTAGACCCTAAGTGACTGTTCGGCTATCCTGGAAAGTGGATATCAGCCGACTAGGTGTGGTGCGCCACCACTTGTATTGTTGTTTCTACTGAGTTTTTTTTTTCTCTTGGTTGAGAAACTGTATTGAAGTTGCAAAACTGTAGATCATTTAGATCTGGTTACACTGCAAGAGCAGTTCGTATATTGTTCTGTGGACTCCTACACAGTGTAAGTCATACATCCTAGTACTGTAGCTGCAGTGTTTGTGTTTGGTTCTCTGTGAAACTGAAAATCAGCAAGTGCCTAGTTGTGGACTGTAACAGCTCTGTAAGGCAGTGTACCTGTGTTTTTTGAGTACTTCTAAACCTAGAATCATGAATAAGGAAAGATTGTGGTGCACTAATTGTCAGAGGCCC